GGACCTAAGACACTTCCCTGGATAACCCCACTGGTTATCGGTCTTGGAGATGAAAGACAGTCGTTGTACTTTATCGTTTGTTGTCGCCCATTTAGGAATGAAGCTAACCATGAGTGTAGTGGGTTGATGATTCCAAATGACTTCAGTTTAAGTAGAAGCCTTTTGTGTGGGACTTTATCAAAAGCCATTTTAAAATCGAAGAAAAGGACTGATACCAGAAGCCCTTTGTCTTGTTCATTCGTGATATCGTTGAAATAATCTAACAGACATGTATCACACGACCTGGACCTCAAGAACCCATGCTGTGAGGTCGATATCAGATTGTTACTAAGTAGATGTTGTAGTAACTCTGACTTAACTATTTTCTCTATAACCCGAGATACTACCGAAGTTATGTTTATAGGTCGGTAATTTTCAACGTTCGCTATAGGCCCAGATTTTATAGTGGGGATGATATGTGTAGTCTTCCAGTTATTAGGGTAACACTCTGTGGAGAGAGATATAGTAAATAGTTTGAGAAGAATAGCACTCAGATCATTGCTACCATTTTTTGGCATGCTGGCAGGGATGCCATCTGGTCCTTCAATGTAAGAGTGCTTCAGTTTACTAATGGCCTTAGAAGTATTCTGTACACTAAACTCAACACTGGCGATTTCACAGAAAGGAGTTTGGGTCTGGTGTGACTCATTTATTGAGTTTTCGTTTGTTAATGTGGCACAAAAATGTTCGCTAAACAACTCTGCGATACTTTTAGGGTCGTCATACACTTGATTGTCCTTAATAAATATGCTCCCTCCTTTCACTTTGGAGCATTTGAGTTTATTCCGAAGGAGTTTTATGAGTTCAGAGGATTCATTGTTCAGTTGAACAGCACGCTTTTCCTGTGCGATTGCCTTTTTAGTACGTGTTATTTCTGCCTCGACATACATTTCAGTCATCGTTACTAATGAGAAGTCATTACAGTTATGAAATCTGGAAGCATGTCTTCGAAGACGTTTTCGTATATGACCTGGCATAAATAAGTCCTTAGGAATTCTGGGTCTCCAGGATTCTAAAGGTGCAAATTTGTTGAATATGCTATTTGTGTTGTGATAAAATACATTCATTAGTTCGTCAATATTGTGTGCGGTAAATTAGTTTGTCCAGTCAATGCTTCTGAGGCAATTGCGGAAGTTTGACCAATCAATCCTACGAAAGTCCCTACGAAGTGTAGTGGATTTATACTTTATAGTTGTAGCTCCTATATCAAGGCTGCATATGACCATATTATGATCGCTACCTGGGAACTTTTTTCCAACATATACAGTATGAGGAATGAGATTGCTGGTGAAAACCAGATCCAATGTATTTTGATTTCTGGTCGGGCCATTAACATGCTGAGTCCACTCTCCAAGCTCTAAGCATTCAATAAATGATTCGAATCGTTTAGGTGCTTTGATTGGGAACCAAGTGATTTCAGGCATGTTGAAGTCCCCACAAATAGCCTTGCTTGTGAACCGTAGGGATGAAACAAATGTGAATACTTCTGACAATAATGCTAGATTTCCTGTTGGTACATTAGGCTGTCGGTAGACACAGCCGAACAGTAAAGAAACGGCATTTGACGGTTTCAGAACGATCCACACAGAGTCTGGCAATCTATTTAGTTCCGATATATCACATAAGAGCGAGTTTAGGCTGACGCCCGTTTGTAAAAACGGCCATTAATCTCGAATTACCTTCAGAATTCTAATGAAACCTTTGCACGTTAGTTTCCATGTCAACGGTTATTCCTGCTACTTATAGCTTTCCAAAGATACCGCAGGAAACACTAGAAGCTCCTCTACCTAGACGTCAAGCAAAACGTAGTTAATGAACTCAGTCCAATACTACTTCAAAAACTATTTGTAAGAGTTTTAACGACTCGCGCTAACAATTCATACAGAAACAAACAATCCCATGCAGTTTGTTTCTTTTCCGGACCTATAAAACATACTCTTAGGAGACGATATTGACAAAAGTAATCGTACAGACCATATAAGAAAGTTTCAAGTCGACATGAACATTCTTAATCGGCTTACGTTTTATGTCAGCCACAACCTCACTGAAATTCCAGAACAGATGAATGACGAAATTCACCCTGATGAGCACTCACTGATACTATTGAAATTCAACATATGGGCATAAGCTAGTGAATTTCTGAGTTTCTCGGATGCCGCCAGACAAAAACCGAGTTTCCATGATATTGAGGTTCCACCAGATAGAAAACCGTATTAGCAAAAGGCAGGAAAAAATCAACTGCAGATCATCATCTAAATCATAAATGTCTTGAGACTAAATCTGATTCTGAAAGAATCTTCTACCTTGCAAACATCCCATCACTGACAAACTGACCCGAATTCCTTGAGATTCAAAACAATTCAGAAAATGGCCCTGAGGTAAACGAAGGATTTTCCTCTAAAAATAAGGATTCGCATCTGTCAATAAACAGTTGTTTCGGTTAATATAGCTAAAATTTCCCTGGTGCAGCATCACGTTGAAGTGATCTCGAATCTACCAAAGGTCAAAACGGGAGCAAAACTACATAAATGACCACAATAATAATATTTTTTCCAAGGTAACTGTAACATATTTGTAGGAGAGCAGGTTAGTAAGTTCTCGTTTATGCTCCTGATAAGTTTGCTGATTTTGACTAGAAGCACCATAGTTGTTAACCTTTCAAAAAAGTTCTGAAAAGAAACGAGTGAGAAGAAGAAAAAAGAGCAGAAAGGCATGTGGAAATATGACCAGAGCATTGTTTATTCATATTGAAGCCTTATACATCCGATACCATATTCTTTGAGTTCTATGCAATCCGAAATGTGTGACGGATTCGCAGGCTATGGATGCATGACCACTGGAAAGTTTGAGGCAAATCGTGAGGCTTGAATGACAGCTAAAGAATAACCGAAGCAAACTCTAGCAAAGCAGATCACTTTTTAATAACATTATTATCATACTCTACGGTTAGAAGATTCAAGTTATGCTTTAAGTGGCCTGAACAGGATAAAGATGAGTGAATTGGATACTACTATGTGTTCAGATACCAAATATTTGCCTAGCCAAAATTATTATTCACAAATTAAAAAGTACTCTCTAAAATTTAATGAAAGTCTTCAAGTTTCTAAAATGAATTAGGTATACAATATGCACCGTCAGTGAAATGCTATCTCAGGTTATCTGAGATATTAATCAATTTTTCACTGACAGAAACAATCCGTTACATACGCGATTAGTTTTTGGATGGGAAGACTTTGAGAATATGCATGCATTTCACTATACATAGCGAGAGATTTTCTTTTAATTACTCGCTGATCGAAAAGTAGAATACAAATTACATTTTTGAGTCTCTAGTCGTTGCTTGGGTTTACATTTGGATTCAAAAAAAGATGAGTAAGAACGTTCGAGGTACCATTGATCTTAATTTGCCATTTATGGAGTTTCCCTTGATGGAATAAATCCCGAGGAGGCGCCTCGCTTGACTGCCAGATGCAATCGGCAATTTATAATGTTCCATGAATTGCATTAGCCCATGTGGTTACTCAGTGCTCGCGGAAGTCAACCGCTTAAGTAACATTAGGCCTAAAAATTAAAAATGGAATATACAGAAGTCCTAAATAGGATATGCTTGCACGATACTGTATACAGTAATGATTCCTTTGAAAATTAGTCCGTATCTAATTCGAATCAAAAAGTGCTTTGTTTCCGTTTGTGCTCGTGTATTTCTTATTGAGTTTGGTAATGGTTCATACTTGACTACTAAAGTACGAATATAACATATTCGGGTGGTAATAACCTCAAAAGCATCATGATATTAAGTTAGTTCAATTAATTACAGCTTAAAAGCTGATCAACACTACGAAAAATACCCAACCCAAAAAACACTAGTAAATAAGTGCTACATTAACTTATCAATAGGAAGAATATAACAAAACCATATTTTTTAAAAAGAATATCTGTTAAATATCGACTTGATTAGTTTGTAAATAGCTAACACATTGCCGAGAAAGAACCTGTTTATTTAACGACAATAACTTCTGTATTAGGTTGTTAGGTGTTTGCCGTTAATATAGGGATTTGTAAGCAGACACATTGACCTTTATCAGCAAAAACATCTCCATATAACCTGGTGACATGGAAAGTTGAGAATCATATTTTATGTATCTAATCTCGATGTTAAGGAAGTGTTTCTTAACCTTTATATATATATATATATATATATATATATATATATATATCAATCCTTGTATAAAACATGTTTTCTGACACCACATAGTTTACAAGCAAACAAAGGTTACTCCCATGCTGATGTCACTTGCTTTAATCTCATAAGAGACATGTGAGGATAACCGTCACTTCTAATTCACCATTTGACAACATCCTCGTCTAGGCAATTTATGTCAGATGATGTACAACTATTAAACTACAGTCTAATGCCACAAATATCAAGTGAAGGAGTGATGAGTGAGTTTTCTTGTTTTACTACTTAATACAGTTTCATCTCAAATATATCTAAGGAATGGGTTCTAGCTTGATTGTCCTGATTTTTTAAAACCTGATGCAGGCGATATGGGTCCTTTGCTTGCCTTTTTACTGGTTTTTTCTTAAAGTTTGTACATCTGCGTTTACATGAACAGTGATATTCTAACAATGATTTTTTCTCTGATCTACTTAGCTTCATTATCTAAGAAAGTGTCCAGTTACACTCTCACTTATATAATTCGAATTGCAGGAATATGTAATATACATACATCCACTGAACTCAGCCACTGAAATAAAATAACTGAACTAAATTTTCGAAAAGTGAACAAATAGTGCAAACGTCAGGATTCTAAAGCAAATCAACTAACTCGGTCATATAATCATTTAATAAACATTAAAAGCTACGATACAAAAATAAGTGTTGTTAATAGTATCTTGCATAGTGTCATCATGCAGTTTGTTCAATGTGTTTCTTTTAAACAAGTAAAATATGGTATTCTATGACAGCTTACATTAATTCAATTCTCACTACCAGATTGCATAGAGCAGTGTTACAGTGCGATTGCTGTGTTTTCCGCGTAAATCTCTTATTTCCTCGTTGTACACTGTGAAAATTAGGATTTTGGCCTGATTTATTTAGACATATTATCTTGTAATTCCAAAACAGTGAAAACGAGTCTCGTTTTGCAGTACATGACATTGCAAAATTATTTGTAGTATGGTTTGTGACCCTCTGGTTAAACAAGCGGTTAGAAAAATCGTATACATTAAACCATTTATCAGGTTATGTATATGTTGATTGTGTTTATCTATTAACTGTTCATTTAACAGCAATCGCATTTTGTAAGCAGTCAGTACCCTTCATTAACCGGAAGTAATCGTGATGTCCTCAAAAGCGAGATTGAATTTATAGCATTCGCACGCGCGACAGAGTCTATGTTTATGTTGTTGTTTCATTTTTAAGATAGTCTTGGTACTAATTATTGTTGATCAGCCAAATGTCATTGTGGAGTGTTTGCCAATTTAACAATTAGGTCACCTTTTCACATGTCCTAGTTGAATGCATCACACGCTGTAGCATACAATATGATTCCAGGGTAGAAGCACACTAAAAGCTGAAAATTACAGAGGCATTTGAAAAATTTCAGGAAATTCAAGTATTGGCTACTCAATAAATTCTCAGATTTATCTTGTGAATTGACGTTGCTTAAACTCAATTCGCGACTGCGCGTTTTGGAAAATATCGATCAATAATTATACAACTGTTAAACTTATGAACAAACTATTTACTTCTGAAGGTTCAGCTGCTCGTAATAGCACCTTGTCGACTTGCCTAGTAACTTCAAATTTCTATAGTCGGTATAAATGAGAACGGGTGAGCTGAAACTCTCTTGAATGTCATTAGTGAATATATAGAAAGTAGGTGGCACAGGAGTGCCCTTTGCAACACATGTGGCACGTGGAACATCTTGGGACAGCTGACAATAACTCCGTCATTTGGTTTTGCAAATTATCATTTCGGAACGGTAGTAAAGTGATTTTTACAAGGCGTTCAGTAGTAAACCATTAATATGGGCAAAGGTAGTGATTTTTATCACTTATCTTTATGTAGATGTGCGTTTGTAACTTGGCATTTAGAATAGAACGGCAAACAGAATAAAAATCCACAGCAAAACGACAAGGATGGATTTTGGGTCAGGAATTCCATTTTCTTATGTTCGAGTGTCGAAAATATCACGATAGCATGTGTTGGTTTGAAATACCTCTTTCTAGACGATCAGATACAAAAAACGTGAGTAATTCGACGACTAGTTATTTGCTAAAGCTATCGACCTTAAAATATCTAATAATTCCTGTATTTTCATGGAAATATTAGGTTTGTTAGATGAAACTTCTGTACATTTAACTTCTTTTACATCCTGCTTTGATGCTGTTTAAAGTTTACGGCAGAGAACTTCCATAAATTTGGGAGTATTCTAAATTTTCTGCTGTTGCTAAATTTTTAGTGGTAAAACAGTGTGAGCACGCTCGTGGTTTAAAATATATTCTGTGTATTGTAAAAATCTAGATACTTATGATATCTTTTCTCCGTCACATTGCTTTCAGGAGAAAATGTTATCTTCGCTTATTGTCATTTTATTAGTCCTGTTTCCCTGTTACTGTAACAAAGTAAAACGTTCATTCACTGTCGACTATAGTAATCACGTGTTCATGAAAGACGATGCACCTTTCCAATATGTTTCCGGAAGTATACACTATTTTCGCATCCCGCAAGAGTACTGGCCTGACCGACTTTTCAAAATGAAGGCTGCTGGGTTGGATGCCATTCAGATGTAAGTTTAACTGTTTGAAATCTTCATGTTTGTCTTGTTTTAACTTTCTACTTTCGGATTATTTGCACACAGTAAATTAATGTGAACAGATCTTTTATAAACTGCATGTCAGTAATAAAACGACTTTTACTTTATATAAAACCCTAAGGTAACCAAGTTCATGTGTTCAATGAATGCTATTGATAACTTCTGGTTGTTTTTACTTTCATTTGCTGTTTGTTCGTATAAAAACAGTATTGATCAGTAAATATTATGTCACTCTGAATATCTGCATTAACTCTTAAGCGAACTGAAAGCTGTTTTAGGACTTAAAAGCTGCTGATGTTTGTTACAATAAATGACCTGTATCTAGCAATTTGTACATAATATAACATGTATTCAGTAATTTACTTTTATTGTGCTTAGTTATATACCATGGAATTTCCATCAGCCCGAAAGTGATATATTCAATTTTCATGGTGACCGAAGTCTGCAAAGGTTTTTGGAACTGGCTTCATCGTTAGATCTGTTGGTAATTGCACGAGTCGGACCATATATATGTGCTGAATGGGATTTTGTGAGTTTGAAATATCAGTATGTTAAATGTTTAGTATTTCATTCACAACTAATTCGACTTCTAAAGTGACGTTTTGTTCGGTTTCAGGGTGGGTTGCCTCCTTGGCTTTTACGGATTAATCCATTGATGAAATTACGCTCCAGTGATCCAGGTAGTTTGCAGTTAGCGCTAAGTTAAAATGCTTATGTAGATTACTCATAAAATTATGTTTTTCATCTTGAAAATGATGTAAACCCAGAAACTATCAAATCCAAAGTAGAATCCAATTGTAGGCAAAAGTTTCTGGCCCTTACTTTTATTTCTTCGTATCTACATTCCTACCACTTTTCATGTATAGAATAGTTTTATGAGGAATAACTTACTCAATAAAGTATTTACCTTTTGTGATGAGAACGTATTTGTTTATGATAGTAAAAACGCTTCAGGTTGTATCAGGTGGTTTCTCATCAGTCACAGCATGTTATGCAGCAGTTATTAGAATCACTTGATTTCTAATCCGAGTTGAAATTTAAGTAGCATCTCTCATGGAATATCTCCATTAGGTTTTTTCACTAAAGTCATGATCTTCGTTTGAAAGATCAGAAATTTAGAACGAATAGTAAGTGAAAAAATATTTTTTAAACGGTGCATTTGATTAAAATTTAGTAACGTGCAATCTTGAGTGTCTTATATTGTCCGTTATCTCTCACTAACTTTCTTGTGGCCCATGTTTTCAATCATATGGTGCTTGATAAGCTGTACCTCTTACTAATGACACCTAGATTGTCAAGCAATACACTAACAGTATCAAGGATAAGGGAACCAAGTATGTTAAGACTACTTGGGACCAGGTAGCAGGTATGATAATTTGCTGGAAAATCTTGTAGTATTGAATGAAACTAGTATTCTTATCATCACCTAACACAAACCGCGATTTAACTTTGGCCAGGCTTTTGGAGCACTAAACTTACACGTTAACTTTCTGTTTTACTGTGATTTGCTATTCAAGGTCCAGCGATTCTTTAAGTAAGTAATACGTTGTAGGAGCTAATGAAGTAATACACGGCTTCTAAGTGTACCGCATTTCAAAGCTCGAATAGCCAAAGTTGAAAAAATAAAAACAAATAAAGAAAGTGTTAATCATGAGTACATTTTCACTGTTGTGAGAGATTTCGAATAATGTAAAATAAGGGTTGCAGTTATTGTTTTCTATGGTATATGATTCGGCTGTTTTTAAGTTCATATTTTATTGAGTAAAATTTGTTACTTAATTAACATTAAGTTAAAAGTTTACTTCTCATACAAACATGTAGATATTTATAACGGCATTGATTGTTTTAAAAAAGTCAGGCAAAACTCTGAAGTGATTGTAAATGCCGAAGAAAATGTTACTTAATCTACTGATATTCACTTTTAATTTAATCCCTTAACAGAATATATGAATTATGTGACGAAATGGTTCGACGTTCTGTTACCTATCATTAAACATTTTCTTTATGAGAATGGTGGACCGATAATTATGGTGCAGGTAAACTACTTTATTAAAATTTAATCGTTGGTTTCCGGCATTAACTAATGCATCCTGCTTTGAAGGGTTCTAGTCAAGTGACAGAATCAGTGTCTTAGTAGAACGGATTTGTGATCATATTAATTACGTAAACTACATGCGCATTCACACATATTTTGCCGATGAATACTTCCTTGTATCACAACTTTTATAGAATCGAATAGAAATAAGAGCGATTTCATAGAACTATTGACGGTTGGTGTTGGAATATTCATCAAATATTTTAAAGAAATTATTTTAGTCCTAAACTATCAAGTTCACATACTTTTATATGTTGTTTCCTATTGGTTAGTATTCACGGTCGACCTAACTGTATAAACATGCGTGATCTGTAAAGTTTAATGCTCCTCTTCTTCTCTACAAAACCTCATATTTTCTGGGTGCTTTTAGAATACACTTTCTACGCCATATCAAGAAATTTTGATACCGTTAGTGGGGGCTTGGGACGCTCGAATTAGAGTAACGTGTCACTGGATCATTCGTCTTAGCTCTCGTTTACTGACTAAGGTGACCTCGTAATAGTTCAAGCATATTAAGTGACGAGCATAACGATTAGAAATACAAAGGGAACTATTTTCGATGCTGAAATTATTTATTGGATTCGAAACCCTTTAGTAATAAGATATGCCTATCAATGTCCCATTCTGGTTGTTGTTGCGTTGCAAGCAATTAGTGTGTCTGAAAGGTGACCGAAACTGCCACTCGTAGTTTTCTTCAATGTCCCCGACAACTATTATGAGCTATTTATCAGCCGTGTTTTCTTTAGTGCCATCTTCATTAACCAACACGTTTTACCAATTATTTCACTAGTAAACCGTAATAAATTTCAATCGTTTTCTAGCGCCGATGGTAGGTTGCTTTCTTGATAACTGCTTTTACCACATACTCATGGATAAAATATCAACAAAATGGGTCTAGGGGGAAACTTACTTTCAGAACATCTGTTTTCAAACACTAACATGATGTAGCCCCCAATCTTAGTAGAAATGTAAATATTTATGTTTATTGCGGTTCAACCGATATTCTTAACAAAACGTATTTAGAAAAGAATTTCATTAAACCCAATTCAACTGAGATACCGTTACAAACGTAGCCTGTCAAGCACATCAAGATACCATAGATCTTAGATATGTTTATCTTCCTGGTTGTTTGACAACACTTGGATTTCAAATTCTGTAAAATATGGCTTTCAAGTTATCTGTATATTATGAGCACTCCGCCTATAGACCCTTCGGGGCTACTGTCGGTTCCAAGCCCGGATAAAGGAGGAGGGTTGGGATGGGGGTTGGCGACCCCGTCCCGCAAAAACTAACTCGCTAAAAAAACGTTAACAAGAAAAAATAATTCAAACCATATAAACTGTGCTCTGCGAGTTAAAAGGTTTTGATTTAGAAGAGTTATGACGTTTCATGATGAAAGCCGAGTTCCTTACGAAGTCATGAAGCCGATGCCCCTAGTGACAACCAGAACCCTTCCACAGTGTGGGAAGCTGCCCTCATACTCATAAAAGCATACAATACCAAATTAGTCAGTCAAATCCTTTCATGGGCATCCCAGTAACGGCAAATTTTACTAATTGATTGATAATATTTTGCCAGTACAATTTTTGTCAGTTTAAATTTAATATTATTTTTAGTATTTCTCCTAAAGTTGTGGGACCGTTATTTCATTGATTTAATTAATGTAGCTAATTTGAATGAAATTCACGAAATTCCACTCTCGAAATGTCTATACATATTTTGAATACGTCTTTGATTTGTTACTTTTATCTGAATTATTTTGACTAAAATTTTCCGTTTTATCACTTCTGTTGTCATTATAATAATAAGTGTTGGTGAATACTTCCATTTATTTAGTGACCGAGTCCATCTTCCGAAGAATGATATATTTGCTGATTGTGCTACCATTGATGATAAGCTCTTGCTCAATGATATAAGGAAGTCAAGAGTCAGTCGAAATAATGTCCATTTTGATTTACCTAATCTTACTGATTACGACATAGGACAAGGTTATGGTATTGATCAGGTGTCTGCTCAAGCAAAACAAAAATTAGCTGACGTATCGGTCTCGAATCAGAATGCAGAGAATACATCAAACGAATCAACAATATCAAATAATTTATCTGCAAATCAGTTGTTACTTCGTCGTTTCAACAATCATTCAATACTCGTTTTAAAATCTCTTAATTCAAGTGATGCATCTTCATCGACTAATAATTCATCTCAAAATTCGAAAGATGTGCTTAATTCCTGTCCGTTGAAAGACCACGTATACGTTAAAGAGCTTGTGGAAGATCAAAACCCTCCAGAAATCCAGTTAGACTTAACCTGTATAAATGACTACTTAGAGGGTCCTACTCCTAGTATAACTGAAAAAGCTACCAAGTTAGTGGACCCATTATCAGTTACCCGGCAAACAGATACTTCGTTTTATGGATTACAAGTAGAGCAGTCAGTAAATAAGTGTAAAAATTCAATGATATCTGCTTATCACATGGGAAAGAAGCCAGGTGTATCACTTTTAACTGCACTTGAGTCCCAACAAGCATTAGCAGATGTCTCGCCTGGTGGTTGTCTCATCGGTGGGAAACTTAATAATGAACGCTCGAAAACATGTGACTTAACTAGCGAGTCAGTCAGGAGCAGTCATATATCGAACTCTCCGAAAGCGTCTGATGAACACCATTCGGGTGACGATGTCGATCGTGGTCCGCCACTGCTCACACTAGAACAGGGTAAAGATTTGTCGCTCTTATATTCAAGTGCTGCTGAACTCTTAAGACATTTCTGGGCATGTTTTCCCGTAACGACCCCGCAGCTAGCTGATAAGTTGGATCGTGTTGCTGCTAGTCTCAATCGTTTTCGCACAACCAAGGTAGCTCACTTCGCCGCTAGCGTTGATCCATCTTTCCGAAATAAATCAGACACTTATTCTGCAAACTCATCTGAACATCTATCCAACTCAGGGAATTCTGGATCTATTTCTTACCGTTCAAGTGTAACTAGTCACCTGGAATCGATGCTAGACTCCGCCCAAAAGAAATATTCTGAATGGAAAACTCGACATTCGCAATAATGTAGATATCTGTATAAATGAACCTTGTGGGACTGTTTTTTTCAATTTTCTGTTTCCTTTTCTCCTAGTTCCCTAATTTAAATGACTACTGTTTTGTAGCACCATGCCAAATTGTACATATTTACTTTTCGGATATCAAGAAATTCACTATATTACTTCGCAACGACTCTTAAATTCTTTTATTTTTCTACATTTTTTATTGACATTGGTATCGTGAATTCCGAAAGTGAAAGGTCAAGTGAATAGACTTTCTTTGGTCTTATCAAAGTAGTAAATTCTGAAGTTCAAGTAAGTAAAGCATCTTCATATTTATGTTACAGATAATACCAATATCTTGCTCTTTCCTAGATTAGTAAATCGTACTCAGAAACGTGCTACTATGTCCTAGAGTACCAAATAAGATCTTATCTGGATTTTAAGCGAATTCCTCACATTGTAGGCATTAAGGTTTAAGTATGCAGGGTTAAATATCAACTAAGGTCAAAGAATTCCTTGACTTTATTAAATTAATACATGAGGAATTAAGGTGTTCGCATTTACAGATAGCTCAAGTAATTATGAACTCTTGTTTATTTTTATTATTATCAAGACATTTAGAACTAAATTACATCTACATTTATTTTAGTGGCATGGTAATAAAACCAGAAATTCACATCATAAAATGAGACAGAATATTTCTCAGCTTTGAGAATTATAGTAGTGATCACTAAAAACTCGCCTTTACTTACAATTTGTGCCTCATATCAAATGGGACGTTAGAGGACCACTAGGCTATAATACTTATCTTCAACACTGATAGGTTTGTAGTCAACTGGTTATCCGAACGTCAGTACTGCCATTTCTTGCTTCACAAAAATGCGTATGAACAATTACTTTTTCTATTACATCGAAAAGTCTAGTATTAAATGTTGAAGTAGGTCGAATATCATACTTAGAAAATATTAAGCAAATAAAACTTGTATAACAAGTAGGTATACTATTAAAATTTCGGTGCATCACGTGATTTCCAACTTTATACGTCGAAACACGTTCCATTATGATTAAAATGTTTTATGGTTTACCTCCTATGTTTGGTCACTGCTAGACGTGATAATTATTCTAAGTACGACTGTTATCAAAACTGAATTCAAGCGCATACCACTCGTTTATAAAGAAATAAGAATTCAGCTGTAGCTTGCTTGAGAAGGTTAAGTCTGTCGCTATTACTTTCATTTAATCGTAGTATTCAATGATGTTATTTGCCAGCTGCATATAAGCAGCTGGGAGCTCATACTATATTTACTTCATGCATCGAGTTCTATAAAAACACGTTGATATCTGACATTGCGTAGTTCCCAACCCTAGTATTACTCATCGTTTCTGAAATGTGAATTGGGTGGATTATGTCCCAATAGCATGGTAGTAACGATTTTGCAGTTGAATCCATCATAAGAATTCCGTATGATGTTAACTATTTTCTCAGGCACCCCGTAGTGTCGAAGAAGCCTCCACAGTGTTTTCCTATCCACGCGATCGAATGCTTTCTCGTAGTCCATGTAGTTAATGTAGAGTGGTGAGTTCCATTCAATTGATTGTTCCACAATGATCCGTAATGTAGCAATTTGGTCAGTACATGATCGATCCTTACGAAATCCGGCCTGTTGATCTCGAAGTTGGGCGTCTACGAAGTCCTTCATTCTGTTTATAGAAACACTCTTGAAGACTTTGCCTGGTATTGAAAGAAGAGTGATGCCTCTGTAGTTCTCACACTTGCTGAGATAGCCTTTCTTTGGTATTTTGATGAGGTATCCTTCTTTCCAATCTGATGGTACTTGTTCCTCATCCCAAATCTTCTTGAAGAGGATGTGAAATATTTTCGTAGTTGCTTCTTCATCTGCTCTCACTGCCTCTACTGAAATATGGTCTGGTCCTGCTGCTTTGCCGCTCTTGATTTGTCTGATGGCTATACTGATCTCTTCAATTGTATGTGCGCCAATATTAATTGGGGGTCGGTCGATGCTGCTTCGATGTTGAGTGGGTTCAGTGGAGCTGGTCGATTCAATAGTTCCTTAAAGTGCTCTACCCACCTATTTCGCTGTTCTTCAGTGTTGCTGATTATTTTCCCTTCCTTGCTTTTCACTGGTCGTTCTGGTTTACGATAGTTTCCCGCCAGCTTCTTTGTTGTTTCGTACAATTGTCTCATGTTTCCTTCTCTTGCAGCCTTTTCCGCCGTCATTGCTAGATAATCCACATATTTTCGTTTGTCAGCTCTGATGCTCTTCTTCACTTCCCTGTTTGCTTCTGTATACTCGGCTTGCGCCTTAACTTTCTCTGCTCTTGTTCGGCAGACATTGATAGCTGCCTTCTTGTTCCTCCTTTCTTGAATTTTTTCAAGAGTACCAACAGAGATCCATTCCTTGTGATGGTGCTTCTTGTGACCCAGAACTTCGTGACATGTTGAAGTGATTGCCTCCTTAATCCCTTTCCAATTGTTCTCCAATGTTGCGTCCTCTCCATCGAGTAGATTGTGAAAGGCCTGGAACCTATTGGTGAGGGCTATCCTGAATTCGTTTAGCTTTAGAGTATCCCGAAGAAATGCCGTATTAAACTTCTGTGATGTTGTCTGCCCCGCTGTCCAGTGCTTCTTTAGCTTCAATCTCATTTTGGCGATCAGCAAGTGGTGATCTGAAGCTATATCAGCTCCTCTCTTGGTTCTCACATCCTCCATGGTCCTTCTGAACTTTTTGTTGATACAGATATGGTCAATTTGGTTTTGAGTAGTGTGGTCCGGTGAAATCCATGTGGCTTTGTGAATGCGTTTGTGCGGGAATATTGTGCCACCGATGACCAGTTTGTTGAAGGCACATAGGTTTGCAAATCTCTCACCGTTTTCGTTCCTTTCTCCCAGTCCATGTCGTCCCATGATGTCTTCATATCCAGTGTCGTCCATGCCAACCTTGGCATTCAGGTCTCCCATAAGAATCGTCAAATCCTTTGATGAACATTTATCGACGACTGACTGCAGCCTTTCGTAGAATTGATCTTTAACGTCGTCATTGTAGTCATTGGTAGGTGCATAACATTGGATGACGTTCATTGTAATGTCCTGTTTCTTTGTTTTGAAGGATGCTTTGATGATCCTTGGTCCATGAGATTCCCATCCTATCAGTGCCTTTTGTGCATGTTTGGACAGCATCAGTGCAACTCCTTGTGTATGGGAAGCATTTTCCTCTTCATGACCAGAGTATAACAGCAGTTCCCCTGAAGCAAGTCTCAGTTGTCCTGCCTGTGTCCAATGCGTTTCACTGATGCCGAGCACCTCGAGGTTGTAACTTTTCATTTCTGCCGCAACTTGAAATAGTCTTCCAGTCTCCCACAATGTACGAACGTTCCATGTACCTAAAAAAATGGTTGCTCTGGTTGTCAGAAGAGGCACCGGCCCCGTGACTTCCGAGGGAACTCGGCTTTCATCACGCGACGTCATAATTCTTCCTCCAACTGCCAGGGCAGAGTTAAAATGGTTTGAATTATTTTTTCTGGTTAGCGATTTTTTGGCAAGTTAGTTTTTGACGGAATGGGGTCGCCAACCCCATGTCCAACCCTCCTCCTTTACCCGAGCTTGGGACCGGCAGTAGCCCCGAAGGTTCTCTTGGCGGAGTTACTAAATCACTGTCTGGTGGGTAGTGAAACCAAAAAAGTTGGAAAAGGCGGTGGCAATAGGTAGCAATAGACAACTGCTTCAAACTTATCAAAGAAACTGGTGTCAGAAATCCGACTGTTAGTGAGACTCGGGAAAAGATGGGACCAGTCACTATTACTACATTGGAGTGCCTAACGTTTTGGAGGAGATCCGATAGCTTTTTGTAAGACTCGTCTTTTACCTTGTCCGATTTGTTGTCTGTGGGAGCATAGGCAGAGACAACGGTGAGTGTCTCGATCTTTGCGAGTCCCTACTGTTCTGTTAAGTCGAACAGCGCACAAACGACTATTTACAGTGATCGAATCTAAGAGAGCTACTTTTGATCTGGGACTTTATGCTTTATGTACAACACCGAGGCCATGGAAGGCCATGATGTAATTCCTCCAATCTCATAGAAACATGATACTGGTACGAAGCTACTGACAAATATATTTGGCGGACAGGGTTTATTAAACAATTTTATTAAAGTGCTTGATCGAATTATTCTCACACAGAGTTGTACGTGACATGTTTCTAACGTTTTGTTGTAACGGATCCCGAATAAATTTTTCTCTTGAATCGATTCATAAGTATTATATTCTGGACGGTTTCGACAAATTTTCCCAATTATGTAACTCAGACGTCTATTTTGAACACCCAAAATGATAGCCTAGTTGACTATCGGATTGATTGGTACGAGATTCCACAATGATGATTCGCACACATAGTATCTTGTCTGTTACTATTAAATGCAGTTTTGATATAATAATCGCAGCCTACTTATTTTGAATAATTGGTCCATGTCTGCTCTTTGACGGTATAGACTGTTCTAATTGATACGATATTCATTTTTCACTCAAAAGTTAATATTGGGGTTTTTTATTAGGAAAATGATAATAATGATCTTATTTTTGTAGATATTCATAGAATATCGTAAAGGTTTCGAAATTTACATTTAAATGAATAATAAATGGATAAATAATTGTCACTTCCTATAAAGGCGAAAAAACTGCACTAATAGTTTTTCCCTGATAAAATCTCGAATCCATCCAGTAATGTCATAATTTGTGTACCTCAGGAGTGTTTGACATATGTCCAGTGGATTTTATGTTGAATGCTAACATGTCTCAGTTTTAAAATTTAAGGTCACGTTAGGTATTCCTAATTACCTGTGTTCTCCGAAACATTGTTTTTTGTATTCCTCATAAAAAATAGGTTAACTTTTATTTCGAAGATCATTGACGTTCCTATAATAATAGTCAGATGATTAGTTTTCACTGAGTATAAATCACTTTAACAAGTGGAACTTACTGGACAAATCAAATACAATGTTTATTATTAAATAACATGTGGTTATTTTCATATAAGTTAGATTTTCATTTATTACAGTCAAAAAAGGTTTGCACCTGACAAGTGAGTAATATTTAAGCAGTTTATTTGAGTTGCAGATACAACTACAATATTTCGATAGTTTATGGATGGCTGAGTTCATTATAATAATGGTATT